TGATAGCTTGTTTAAAAAAAAAAAAAAGAGCCAGATTCAGACAGATGTAAGGGAATCTTTTATATCCATTAAACACATATTAGTGCAGAAAGTCAAGCAGTGTTGAAAAAGCTCCCTTTTGTTAGCTGAGTTTGAAGCCAGTACAGTAGCTAGCAGTGAGAAAGGACAGAAAACATGGTGGGGTATCTTTTGCTAACTGATTCATCATAGCATGCCTCCCAGGAGTCTGCTCATAAGAATCTCTCTGAGTTTCTCCCTGCAGAGTATAAAGGCTCATTGCTTTCTATAATAGGAAAATGAAAGATAAAATGGCTTATCTTGAGATTTCTTCCCCCCCCCAATGTGTCTGAGTAACCCTCCCTTCCTAAAAGTGCCTTAAAACCTAAACCATCAGTAACCACTTGTTATTTTTTCCATATTTCTAACAAATGTATTTGCCATGAAATATTTCCCGAGTCTCCCCTTCAACAAAACGTGATTTATGAAAAAAAAAAAAAAAGCACAAAAGGTTGCCTACCTGACCAGCCTATTTTTTAATCATGTTTCCCAAATTGCTTCAGTATCATTAGCATCTGTAACTTAAAGGTCTGCAAGTCTCCAGTCTGCAGACAAGCTCAAATGTTAGTGTTTCAGAACCAGGGAACAGTGAAATCTAATAACGTTGCTTTTCTCTGCACTAACAAACTTTGGCTTTCCACCTTTGAAGGGCAGAGAGTAACCAACCTTACCATTTTGGGGTAAAATTAGCAATAGCCATTTTGCCTGTCTGTCTCTGTGGCTGCATGTGTTTGGATGTGGTACAAGTATCAGTGTTCTAGGAGATGATGCCACACCTCTTAGCTAAAAACATATGTATGCAATTATTTGTGGTGATGACAAATGGAGAACGTCTCATGTCTGATTATAATTAGCCCCAAAGTGAACTGTTCTATCAGCCCTCGGGGAGATTCAAGTCAGTGATGACTTAGGTGGTTGTTATAGTTAGTAATTTAAGACTTTTAAATTCTTGATTGCTTTGGGATTGGGAGTGGTGGGTTGCAGTGTGTCTGGTTCTTTAATCTGTGTTGCCCAAAATACAACATAGCATGGCCACCTAAACTAAGTTGCTGGTAGATCTTGAGCCTTTCTGTGTTGTTCCTGAAATCAGCTTAAAGTCTTAGTGAAAAATCTAGGTCAGCAATGTGTGTAGTGTGTTCCTAATAGATGCAGAACTTAGACTACAAGGAGTTAGTACATTTCATTTACTAATCCAGGTGTTCAAAATATGTACACAGATTTGGAATAGTGAATGAGGAAGAATGAGTGGTTCAATATGATATGATTTACTATGATAATTAGCCTTAAATTTAAAACTGGCTCTTAAACCAGCTTTGAAAGTAAAGTTACAGAAGCAGGGTGTGACCTGATAACCACAGGTACAGCTACAATGGCTTCAAGTTCCTGTTCTTGCCTTTGGGCTCTGTGCAGGGGCAGACACAGTGGCATTAGATGACCAAAGGCAACATATGTATATGCTTGAAGGGAAGCATGGCAGCACGGGCACTAGGCTCCTATAGAAAGTGAAAAAGTGTGGTGCCTGAGAAAAATTCCTGTAAGGATAGTGAAAGACATTGTGGATGGATCCCTGTTAAGTAAAAGAAAGCAACAAAGAAGATGGATATTCCTCAGCTAAGGGGACTTTTTGATGCTGTTTCTTTATGTATCTGGACTGCAAGTATGCCAGTTTTTACCTCCAAGAAGCAGAGAGACAATGAGATCTGATGCAGCCTTCACAATGCATGTGTCTTCAGCTCGTGAGCTACCTTGGAGCCTCAGCAGGATCTCAGACAGCACCTCTTGCACTCCTGCCTCCACCAACTGCACTTTCAGAGCATCTGGACAAATCACAGTTAAAGCACATTAAAAGCTTCTTGAGTCTTTGTGGAAATCTTTCAAACTAGGAAGCTAATCCTTGAAATTTAACCAGTCTATTTTCAGGTACAATCACTGTTTTGGTTTTGTTTGTAACAGATTTCTGGTGCTAGGATCACACCAAGGCAGAATGAGCATTAATCTGTGATGTTTCTTGTATTGCCAGTCATAAGTTTTCATTTCTAAGTATTTTCCTGTGATGTTTCTTGTATTGCCAGTCATGAGTTTTCATTTCTAAATATTTTTAGTGGATTCATGTCAGTGCTTGTTGCACCACTGCTTAGAGTAGCCATCTTCTATGAAATCTGGTTGTTCTTTTTTTTAAAAATAAAAACCCCCCAACAAACTGTTCTATGAAATCTGGTTGTTCTTTTTTTTTAAAATAAAAACCCCCCAACAAACTGCCTTGGTGCTTTCCTGTTACACAGCATGGAGCATGTGTTCTAGTCTGCTGTTTTATAGCTGTACCGAAATAGAGTGAAGTACTACTCTCTCCCTTCTTTCTTTGTTGCCTCATCTGTTAAGCTTCAAAATGTTGTTCAGGCCAGGATTTCACATGTTCTTGTGGCTTATTTCTACTGAAAGGTTGTTGGTTCCATCAGTAGGATCCCATGGCAAACCTGGGATAACCAGAGCTTAAACTAATACAATACCCTGTCTCCCCTCATTCCACGCAAGCTGAACGCTACTCTCTCCCTTCTTTCTTTGTTGCCTCATCTGTTAAGCTTCAAAATGTTGTTCAGGCCAGGATTTCACATGTTCTTGTGGCTTATTTCTACTGAAAGGTTGTTGGTTCCATCAGTAGGATCCCATGGCAAACCTGGGATAACCAGAGCTTAAACTAATACAATACCCTGTCTCCCCTCATTCCACGCAAGCTGAACGGAGCCTTACTAAACTAATACAATACCCTGTCTCCCCTTGTTCCACGCAAGCTGAACAGAGCCTTACCATTTTCTGCAAGTGCTTGCAGGACCTCAAAGACAATTTCCAACCTCTCATGGTTCTCTGCTCTTCTCAGTTGTTTCACCAGCTGTTCAGCAACCTTTGTCCTGCTTAGGGCTTCCTTGGCTGTATCTGTGTATGTGATAAAGTCAGGATTTTGAATGTTTCTTTATCTGATTAAATGTTGAAAGCATATCCCTATAATCTCAAATGATTAGGCACTGTTTTTGAAGACTTTTTCTGTTCTTATAGACTCTTCCTGTCCCTTTGGACAGCACTGAGACAGCAAAACTCTATTTCTTCTTCCCCTAATTTCCTTAACACTGTTTTTCTATAATTCCTGTAGATATGACCGTATAGGTGACAAGTTAATCCTGGCTTAATTTCACTGACCCTTACAAATCCATCTGCAGTATGATTATTTAATATGACAGATTGTCACATATCCATTTGCTGTAGTAGTATATTTGTTTTGGCCTTGATTAGATGGTTCTAGTCTTTCTGGGATTCTAAAAATCTACAAGACATATGTTAGCAAAGCTTGACACTGTCTGACATAGAACACATTTGAATGGAATATGGTATTAAGTAATAGAAGAGAGAAATAATGACAGACCTTCCTAGAAGATAATGTGATATCATACCCCCTTCTCTGCCTCTCCCCCTAAATACAGGAAGCAACAGATAAAATTGTAGTCAGACCAAATGTAAAGAGTGGTAATAATTTTCTACTTGATCTTTTCCGTCCATCACTACTTACAGCTTGTGTAAAGTAGGGCAGATGTATTTAAAATCAGTGGAGATGCCTTTGCTTTGAAAATTGTGTAAATGAAAACAGAAGCTGTTTCAGTCAGGTATGTAAACTTAATTATTAAATAGAAATAAATTTTTAATAAACAAGCTTTTAATGTACCATATCTGAAATAGCTGAAACTGTCGGTTTGCCATATGAAGTTATGCAATCTCTACTTTTTTGGGGGAGCTCAAAAGCTGTCTGTTAAATTATGTTTTACTAAAATACCAGCAACTGCTGGTACTCCATCAAAGAGAAGTTACTTCTCCAGTACAAATACTGTGACCAGTCCCTGATTATGTATCAGTAGTGTTTAAAAAACAAACCCCAAACCAAACACTTCCCCCCTCCCCCCCCAAAAAAAATAAATTCCCCAAACAAACAAAACCAAAGCAAACCCCACAAATGTGCAGACATAAAGTCAGTGACAGCATGAAGATGATATTTTGCTCCAAGATGCAGAAACATTTACTTACCAAGGTCTGCAAGATTGTATAAGGCCAATAGAGCAACATGAACAAGTGGTTCACTCTCTGCATAGTCGGTTAATATTCGCACTAGTGATGGGATTATTCCTACCTTCACCAGCTCTTCCTGAAGGTTGCCTGGTAGAAGTTAAAGGTGGTTAAATTAGAGACCAATTAAATCAGTAAAAAGGGTCCAATTGAGATGCTTAGCACAAGGTAGTCTTTCTTTCTCACACTGTTAGAATTTGTGAGGCTTTTGTGCTGTGGATTCAGGCTAGTGTATGTGGGGAGGAAAGGCAAGTTCAGGACAGGTTTTCACTAAACCTCCTGGCTCTTCTTTGACTTGAGGAATTAAGCTACTGTAAAAATATATAAGAGCAATTGCATGAGCATCTCTAGTACTAGTTCGGCTTCTCAAGCAATTTCTGATGGACTGTGTCTTTTGGTAGGCACCTGAAAATTAAGTGAGGAACAGACATTTAGTTTATTTGTCTTGGGGAATTGTAATCTCTGCCTTATTGGTCTTCTCTTGTTCTGAAGGGCAGGGAGATGGAAAGGACTGGAAACCCAAAACATAATTTAGTGGTGACTGCGGTCAGGGATCAACAGTGTTGTGACTCATATAGCAAATGTCTGCATTTTGCATGTTACAATAAGAATTCTTTTTTTCTTAAAAAAAATTAATTTCTTCATGAAACAAGATGCTTTACCAATACTTAGGCTATTATACCACTAAAAGATAGATTGCTTTAAATTTCACGTAGGGAAGTCATCCTTTTCCAGCTTTTTTGAATGTTAGCTGCTCATTCTGTAGGGAGCCTTGGAAAGCTTGAATTGAAGGTATCTTCGATATCTTTATAGTTTGAGGAAGGTACTCAAACAATTGTAAATTTTTATGGCTTAAGAGAAGTCAACAAAGTAAGTAGAAATTAATATTTGGTTCTGGTTCTAGCAAACTGACTCCAGTTGCCTCCATCCACATGCAGACTTGCAGAGGAAAACACTGATAACTGTTTGCTTTCTTTTTATAGTTTGCTTTGTAATGAATGA